AAATGGATGGTTTCTTTCTATTGGCGAAGGGCAATGGAGAGAGTAAAGATGTACAAGTGAGATATAACGGGGAAGCAGTGAACACTAAATAGGGAGAGACATTTCCTTGGTAATGACGCGTAGTGGTAATTAAACTGAGAGCTAATCACCTCCGCCTTTCAAATTAAATACAATAACCACGGCACCTCAAAAGCTCCAAGAAAATGTCGACAACAAAATATACATCAAAGGTGTCTGTATGAAAAAGGAGGGGTGCTTTTCCTGCCTGGATGTGTTTGAATTTTCGGCGCCACAATGCCAAGTGTCCTAAAAGCACGACTAACCCCTGCAAGTTAAAGGGAGTTGGAAGCACCTCTACAATGTGAAAAGTGATCCCAGCGGGAAGGGATTGTCTGGATGTTCTCCCGCGAGGTCATCATGGTGCGCTGATGACTGTGCTTAATGCGCTTCATTTGATCGATGACTTGAATGTCGGCCATTGTCAACAACTAAAAGCAATCCGGTGGGTTGAGAGACGTAGGCAGACGGTTGATAAATGTGAAAATGCTCACGAGTGCCCACCGCAGTGTTTACTATGTAAAAACATGGGCTTCTTTCGAAGGCTTTGTGTTTACATGAGAAAATTGGTGTGTTCTGTGTCGGTGTGAGTGCAGAGCTAGGACCTCACACATGTAAAGCCATTTGGTGCGTTTGAGTCCACAAACGGCAGAGACGATCAGACAAACACAATTAGCAGCGGGACACCAACGGGCCATATGGCGGAGAGCGTAGCAGAGCCGCGCTAAACGCCGGCTGCTAATGAACCTTAATGTGATCTGTTCCAGAGTCACGGTGCACGGGTGGTCAGGCGAGGAGGCTTACTCTGGTTGCCTGAAGGAACTCCAATTACGAGGCGCACGTACAAAACCACCGACTGACATTAACGGTGCTTGTTTTACAGTGTTCACATGCAGTGAGGGATGAAAACAGGCTATCGTCTGCCAAGTTGATCTCCTACACTGCGACACACATGGTTAAAGTGTGAATCAATGTCAATTCCACTGAAAAGGCCACACACCCCACAGGAGAGGAGTGGAACAGAGTGTGGCTACAACCTGGCATGCAGTAGTTACATTCCATGTTCGTGAATTTGCAATTCCGCTTCTTTTAAACAGTGACAGACTGACTATCATCTAGGGTCATTATAAGAACCAGATTTTTATAACAGCATCGGCCTTTTCTAAAAATCCAACAGCTGACAAGTGATTTATTCCAGCGTCACACAACTTGAACTTTATTGACCGTATAGGAAATTTTACAATTCCATTATAAAATTGTAAAGTCTCACAGGATTTACTCATGCCTAATGTGACTTAGTTGATGACCTTTGAGGCACTTTTTTTCCTTCAAAGCACTTCGATTGAAACCAAAAATCCAAAATTTTGGGAGTTCAACATTGCCCGGCCAACTGTGCGTCTTAAAAAATGTTAAACATAAGCTATGGTACACACTCACCTGCATCGAGGATTCCCTGGGCCAGGATGGCACCGAATTTGGCCATAACATCGTCGTGCTTGTCATTGATGACCTTTGCGTAAAGCTGTCGGAATTGATTCACCTGGAGACAAAAGGAGAAAATGTATTCATACCCAAGTGATAGGCACCTGCTTGTATAATGAAAGCAACAGTGCTTCATTTCATTCACCAGATCAAGGGAGAAACATGGTTGCAAAACAACATGTCATGTCAAGTGCAAGTTATTTTGGAAGATATAAATGAAGAGAAATAAGGCTGTTGTCTGCCACTACAGACGAGCAGTAGATTAAAAGTCGATAAACAGTCATGGATGTAATACTGCCCAAAAATTACAATGTTTGGGAAAAAATGGCTCGTGCGCAATTCGGCATGGGACTTCAGCTTTGAAAAAAAAAAAGGGGGTACAGTCTGAAAAGGTGTCTGGCATTTCTTAACTGTCTGTGACAATATATTACGTGATCCCAGGGCAAGTGTGTGAAGTTATGCGAGGACAAGTTATTTTCCAGGAGTGCCACGACACGTTTCTTCACCTCTATCTTCCTAAAGCTGATGCCTTCAGCTTTCAAACAAATTTCCCCCTTTGATGTCCCCCCCATACAAAAAAAAAACCCTACGGCTGTGACATTTTTTTCATGAACATGAGTTGCTGTCGAGGATATCTGTTAAGAGAAAAACAGAGAGACAAACCTTGGGGCAGGTAACTTCCGTTTGCTGGATCATGATGAGTGCAGAGGCAATGAGAGCACCCTGTCTCACGTAGTTCACTGGGTCATTGGTCATGGGCTCCAACAGATTGATGGCCTCCTGCACAAACAACCGTCACAATAAAAAAACTTGAGCTAGAATCAAGAGTTTTTGCTAGCTTCTAGGCTGCTTACAAGGTGGGTAGGGGCACAAATAGGCACATGATCTAGTTGCCATTTGTAACTGCAACATTGGTGCAACAGGGGGAACATGTGTTCAGGACAAACATTATTAACAGAGGAAACAAGACCATACTAATTAATGAGATTAGTGGCATCCATATCTGGTTGCCCAGGACAACTGTATTACAGTTAAAACAAGGACCGCCTTCCACAATTTGCTCCTATTAAGTCAGAGAGATGATTTTTCCAGTTCTCACTCTGCATCTAACTGAGCGTTAACGTCTGTAACATTTACGGACAAGTTTGGGGTGGGAGGGTAGGGTTGGGGCGACCACCCTGTTCAGTCAATGGGGGAGAGGAGGTTCACAACATGTCTCCTGAGTCGTGACAAGTTCGAAGGCAAAGCCAACATCAACTGACCACAGGTTTTCGACCTCATCACAATACGGAAACAGTTCTTATTAAAGGACTAAGTTACATAAGATTGAACACTGACGTAGGGAATGTGTTGATGCTCGTCTTACTGGATCTCAGTGCAGAATTTAATACAATCGATCGCGACATACTGTTGAACTGGTTGGAAACTTGGGTGGGATTAAATGGAACAGTCCTCAAATGGTTCAGGTCCTACTTGGAGGAAAGGAGTTACTCTGTGACCAGATGAAGTTTGAAATCTGATCAAATGGCTCTGACATGGAAGGGGTTTCTCAAGGGTCACTCCTTGCACCCCATTTGTTCTGTCTGTATATGTTAACCCTGGGTCAAATGCGTGGTGCTATCATGACTAGACCGAGGACACACAGCTCTATTTATCAATGTCCCCGAATAAAAGCAAGTTCACTTAAGGTACTGTGTCATTGTCTTGAGCAAATTAACAAGTGGATGAACCAAAATTTCCTTCAGCTAAAGAAAAATAAAAACAGAAGTAATTGTTTTTGGAAATAAAGAAAAAAAGATTTGCTATTAGAATCATCTGTGTTACTGTCATTAGAGACTAAAGACTAAGTCCGAAACCTTGAGGTGTTGATAGACATGACTTTCACCAATCATATCAATCACTAAAACAAACTTTTAACAGCTGAAAAATATATCCTGACTGAATTGTTGCATGCTCCAAGCAGACCAGTTGAAACTTATCTGTGCTTTTATCTCCAGTACACTCGATTATTGCAACAGTCATCTTACTGGATTCCCTCAAAAGAGCATCAAACAGCTGCAGTTCATTCAGAAAGCAGCTCGGGTTCTGACCAGAACAAAGAGGTCAGACAACATTACTCGAGTCCTGAAAGCTTTACATTGGCTCACAATCAGCTGGAGAATAGATTTTAAAATCCTGCTCCTGGTCTATAAACCACTGAATCGTTTGGATCCTAAAAACATTATAGAAATGCTGATATAAACCCAGTAGGGCTCTGAGGTCTGTAGACTAGGGTCAATTAGTGAAGCCCAAAGTTCAAAGTGAACATGGTGAAGCTGCATTAGTTGTTATGTTGCACACAAACTGAATAAGATGCCAAGAAGTCAAGCCGGCCTCTTGTGTAAATGCTTTTAAATCCACATTGATGTGATGAAGATCTTCTAAATTTTTAAATCATTTTTTTCTTATGGTCATTTTATAAACCTACTCTCAAGTCTTTACTTTCAAATGTTTTTTTATTAATGTATTTAATTGTTATCAACGTATGTTCTTTTTGTTATTTTTGTAAGCTATTTTTGTTTTCTCTGCTTTGCTTCTGAAAGTAGTTAACTGGTGTGTTTGTAAACGCATGGTGTGTTATGTCTGCTTGTGCGAAGCACAGAGGTGCATTGCCCCTATTTAAATTAAGCTGCCTTGCCTTGCATTGACGAAAGGGGGCTGGTGGGGGTCTGTGAAATGTAAATCGCTTTGGAAAAATTCATGTGGTCATAAAAGAGTATACATAATATATAAAATATACATGCTCCCAAAATTGATACATTTCTCCTGTACAATACAATCAACAAGACCCTCCTTTCATTGTGGACAAAAACTAAAACGTTGCAGCAACAATTTCCCAAGGACAAGTTGTATAAATTACAACAAAATAATTGATTCCTTAAATAGGTGACCTACTTCTCTCGTCACAACACCATCACTCTCCCAATAAAGGGCCTAATAAGCTGGGGCAGCAGTGTATACACACTCGGACATTCCTTTTCGAGCTGGTGCTTTTAAAACTTGAAATGAAAACTACTGAAGGAATCATTTACATTGGTTGATTTTAATCAGGTTATTGTGAACCAAAGACCCTCTTCAACTCATTCAACATTGTCTGTTGTTTATAAGAGTGGAGTGAGATTGGTATTTCACATTTGTTGTCATACTTTCAGTATATTTGCAGATCATTCATTTCATCTAAATTGTTCATGTAGAAAATGTACTCTTTCATTTCAACAAGGTAGCTCACCTTGTTGCCTGTTCCGGCACAGCAGATGCCCAAAGCCATGGCAGCACCACAGCGAACGTGAGGGTTGTAGCTCTCTGACAAAAGTGACACGACACTGGGGCATTGCTCAGGAGTTCTGAAAAGAGAAGTGAAAAAAGGCTGATACTATGAGCACACAGAATCAAAAACTAAATTAATACTGCTACTGGAGTCACAAAAAGTCACAAGATGGGTTGGATACATTTAAAAGTACCATTACATATATTGATCAAAATATATGTTAGGCTTTTTTTTAGTGCAGAAGGTCTGCCAAGAGGATTTGTTCCAAGAATCTGCTTTAGGAATTGAACAAATGAGTCACATGAATACAAACCTTCACAGCCAGACTGTAGATCTAGCTGTGTTAGGGAATGTCTGTTTGAGCCATCTTTCAAAAAGAAGGAATTTGTTTCTGTATACAACTATGACGGGAAAAAAAATGAAATAGTGTGTTTGGTGTTAAGAAGGACACGCTGGGATGTGATTTGCAAATGCTGTTACACTTGTATGTAAGAACTAAAATGGTATATTTCTACAACACACACGTTTAACAGGACTGCCCAACTGCATGTTGTGGAAAGCAACAGGAGAAACCAAAGATGGTTTAGGTCAATATTTCATTGACCCTTAAACCAATTCTGAGGTTGTATTTTATTTATTGTCATTAGGTTGCTGTGTGTCTGAAGTTCCGCATTAAAAAAAATACTTTTTTTACCTGCACATGCTAGCAAATGGTTTTGGACTCAAAAGAAGAGTTTAAACACACAATGTCAGATCAAGATGAACTTTTGATTTAATTCAGAGATAAAAGGACTTTTGATTTAAGTTCGAGGTTTAAAGTACCAGTCTTCGATTCTGGCAGTCAGATGACATCCTACAATAGCACCTGTGACGTTCTGACTATATCGTTGGGCTGTTTAATTAAGTACTAAATCATGGTGTGCATGCTTCAAATGTATCAAAAGAGGAGTGGCAGCAGCTGATACAGCTGTGGTTTATTTGCCCCTCCAGTCTACATATCCAAGGGCTTTGCAAGGAGTGTCAAGCAGTAAACCAATGTGACAGGAAAACAGATTATCGATGTATTTATGGCAATACTTGAAAGATAAGATCATTTAACATGCTTCCTGACTGCAACACATGATCATTCAAACAGACTGAACACACCTGGTCAGTGTTGAAATAAACAAGACATGATGTAGTATGACTTTTATAGGCAAGCTCTGCATGTATAAGAACAATAGTTTGACTAAAGCGGATAGAGGCGAGACTACCCTTTAAGGACATAAGGGAACACGGATTTACTGGTAACATTTTTCACATTTTCACAGGCGGAAAAGAGTCATTCACCATCTGTAAAGTCTTTTACATATTTAAATACCTCGCATCTGCTTTTAAAGTTGACTGCGACTGCCAAGACTTCAGTGGAGTCATTTCAAAAGATCAAAACAGGGAAAATGGAATTTTAAAAAATGGTAAAATGTAGAACTGCATTACTACTTCAGCCCATACTCTTGTTAGTGTAAAGTGTAATGGAGGTAGGATGAGAAAATGACAGAACTAAACACTGGGTTGAAGAAAAAAAAAAAAAAGAAGACCCCCAGGAACCACTGGTACGCGGCTGCCATGAAGACATTCATACATTATGCACATAGTGTGACTCACGAAGACTGAGGGAAGGGAGGGGAAGAGAGGGGAGATAGTGAGAGGGGGTGTGTGAAAGAAGGAGCAATGACGAGCTCTTTCGAGGCTGGAGAGCCAGAAGGAAAGAGAAAGGCAGAAGCCACATCATCTGAAAGTTCTAAAGTTGTGATCATGGGAGGTGATGCATAGCCGGACATTTTGGACATAAAACCAATCACCCATCATGGACATGGACAGAATTGTCTCATGTTCCGACATGGGAGGGCTACAAATATAATGGTGTTTTTTTTTCTTTTGGAAGAGAACTTCAAGAGATGAAACATCTCTGAGCAACTCATTCAGGAGAGGTAAGAAACCTTTGCAAAGTTATGCAGAACATTTTAGTGTGTTAATGCAGTGATTCCCAAACAGTGAGTCCGGCCGGGGACATTAGTCTGCTGCGAGAGCTCGAGCGGTGTGCTGTGGGAACTTGTCAATTTTCACTTAATTGGTGACAAAATTATTTAAGAACAAATAATGTACGTATCTTTATCCATCCATGTATGCCAGGAACTTATAATGACAGAAAGAACAAATAAATGATCTTCTATTAGATGGCAAAATGTATGAAATTGACAAATGTATCCTCTTCTGGTGACATTTTTGCTTGGTGGTGTGCCGTGCGATTAAAAACGTGCCCTGGTTCGATAAAGGCTGAATCGATCACTATTTACTGGATGCGGTTTGCAACATAAGTTGCAAATTGCGGTGCACTTTGATTAACTCTAAATTGTGTTCAAAGACACTCACACAAATTCTAGAAAAAGTTTTCACATTTTGTGTACTAAGACATTCTCAGAGACATTTGAGACATTCCTTGAGCATTTGCGACGTGGTTTTAAGAAAAAGCCATTTTCACAAATTCAAAACAATATTCCTCACTTTTTACAAGCACCTTCTGTTGTCAACTGTCATATCATTATAGATAAAAAAAATTGACATCAAATATTGCTGTTCCGCTGATGGATTTGTTTGTCATTACAGGTGGAAACAATGGATAGTGGATAATCTGTCAGGGAAAACGAAGGAACATGAGGACTCCAGCTGGTGTTTCTCTGTGGAAATACTTCATGTCTATGGATTAACAATATGGGAGACATTTCCACGATCATCCAGAGGTTGTCTGTATTTTTCTTTTTTTTTAACAGTTGTATATTTCCTTAAGGTATGGGGCATCCAGCGCACTGCCCCTGAGCTTTTTAGCCTCCCTGCCTGCGCCTCTCAGCGGCTACTAGTGACAATGCTGACCGAGCCTGCAAAACCACAGAGATCAGAGCCGAGACCCAAAACAAGGCCCACTGGAACCTTCACGGCACAATGTCCCAGTCAGATGTGGCTCCCCTGGAGGCTGACAGCTCGCTATCAGAAACCTCTGGGGTTCCGTTAAAGTGGGCTGCTCTGCTTTTTGTTATGGTCATCGTTCCCACCATTGGTGGAAACATCTTGGTCATCCTCGCTGTGTCACTTGAGAAGAAGCTGCAGAATGCCACCAACTACTTCCTGATGTCACTTGCTGTGGCCGATTTATTGGTGGGACTCCTGGTGATGCCAATTGCCCTGGTCACTGTCCTCTACAGTAAGTTAAACATGTGGAGTCCGAGCTGATAAAAATGTTTTCAAACAAATGTGAAACAAACCCTGCGACCAAAATCCAAGAGATGCATTCACAAACATATTTTTTTTTAAATGATAACATGTAAATTGTATGAAGAAATAGGAAGCTGACACTTGGATTAGTTTTGGGCCTGACTATTACTCAATATATTGACTCATTAAAAGGTAATCATTCAGAAGTCATTATGTGTGGTCATTAGTCTTTACAAACGCCATATTTCTATGAAATAAGGTTCCTATCGGGACACCAAGATCAAAACCACAATAAAAATAATCCACGGGTCCCTCTCAAAAGTAAAACAGTGCTGGAATAAAAGTTAAAGTGCCAAATGAATGCCTGGAGGTGGAAATAAACATTACAGTAAGTCTCCAGAACATCAAGATCAAGAACTTTAAGCGACATCAACAGCCTGAGACCGCTCCTCTTTCCAGCAGAGTCATACCTCACATATATAAACAAAGAGAACTTCTAATCGAGTGCCATTTCTAATCCCTGACTGGATGATACAGCTCCCACTGCAAGACCAGAACAGACCACCGTTAGAAACCCAAAATATAGCAGATCCACTGCTCGGGGAACATAAATGTCAGTTGTGAATTGCTATTTTCTACCATTTCTTTAGATTCTGGTTGGCCCCTTCCTGACTTCATCTGCCCTATTTGGCTCTTCCTGGATGTGCTGTTTTCAACTGCATCCATCATGCACCTGTGTGCCATCTCACTGGATCGCTACATTGCCATCAAGAAGCCAATACAGCACAGCCAGTACAAATCCAGAGCCAAGGCCATGGTCAAGATAGCACTGGTGTGGCTTATATCCATTTGTAAGCATTTCTCTTCACATCTTCTTTCACTTTCCCATCCATTTCACTCATCTCTGTAGCCATCTCTACAACCACAAATTTCAAACACGAGCAAGGTTTTGAAATACATTTCTTGACGCAAGATCCATGGCAGACCTGGTTTATAAGCTCATAAACACAGGCCGGATGGAATAAAAGCAAAAGCAATATAAACAGTTATACTCTGCAGCATTGGGAGGGACACAGTGTGGGTTCGGCAACACCAGAACAGCAAAACCAAAATAAAATAAATCAAATCAAACAACCGAGATGTTACCATCCATGTCTCAATTGGGGTCAATGAGACATAGATGGAGATGTTACCATCCATGTCTCAATTGGGGTCAATGATTCCACTTTTAAAGCAGAGTCTGTGACCACTGGCATATCCATCCATCTAATTCAGAAAACAGTAATTTTATACCATAGAATTTCATTTACAAAATGGGATTTAAAAAATATATTTTTGGACTTGAAGCATTAAAATAAACTGGCAAGATTTCCCCTTAAGACTCATGTAAGATTTTTCTTATTCTTTTCTCCAGGTATAGCGATCCCTATTCCAATCAAGGGGCTCCAGAACTACCAACCCAGAAACAACATCACCTTCAACAGTAACCACACATGCCAGCTTAAAACGGACACCTTCCGGGAATTCATCATGTTTGGCTCCATGGCAGCATTCTTTGTTCCGCTGATCATAATGATGGTCATCTACCTTCTTACTGTCCATGTGCTGCGCAAAAAGGTCTATTTACTCAGGTCAAAGGTGATTCAGCGCTTCAGCTACCCAGCGGTGTCCACAGTATTCCAAAGGGACCATGCTAGGACCGCAAATCAAGTTGACCAGTTTCATGTGCTGGACAGGCTTTCCAAGATGCAAGAAAACCCCAATGTAGGCACCGCAAAGCTTCCTCCCATCGGTGAAATTCCCTTCCGCAGAATGTCCACCATGGGGAAGAAGTCAATGCAGACTCTAAGCAACGAGCAGCGTGCCTCAAAGGTGCTGGGCATAGTCTTCCTCCTCTTTGTGGTCATGTGGTGTCCGTTCTTCATCACTAATGTCACCTCTGTGCTGTGTACCAGCTGTGATGTCAACATCATCTCCCGGCTGATGGAGATCTTTGTGTGGGTGGGCTACATATCATCGGGTATCAACCCTCTTGTTTACACACTCTTCAACAAGACGTTTAGGGAGGCTTTCACACGCTACATCACCTGTAATTATAAGACCTGCGCACGTCATCAGCCGGACAGAAATCTAAAGGCCTCAAACGTCGCTCGGACTCTTACGAGAATTTCATTCAGATCTTCCATGGCCGAAAACTCCAAACTGTTCATGAAGAGGGGCATGAGGAACGGCATTGGGGCAGTGGGCCCCCAAAGTCCACCGAGATGCCGGTCATCTGCCCATTCATGTAGCGGTGTCATGTTAGACACAATGCACTTTGTGGACAGCTACGATGCCAAGCAGGAAGAACATGTGAGCCGCCTATGAAGCTACAACAATCCAATTGACCTGAGAGCATCAGGACATGGCTGGGATCTTGCTGAACACCTAGTTTTTCAAATTCAAAACAGGATGTTTGCACCACCACCAACTTCAAAAGCTGTTGGATTGCGTTGGACTGGCATTTTGTAATGTACTTTCCTTGAAATAAGACCTGGCTACGGGGGTTGACCCCACAATTGTACAATGTTACAGGACAAAAAAAAAAAAAAAACAAAAAAAAAAAAAAAAACAAAAAAAAAAAAAAAAACAAAAAAAAAAAAAAAAACAAAAAAAAAAAAAAAAACAAAAAAAAAAAAAAAAACAAAAAAAAAAACAAAAGCAAAATCATGCATTTTGTTCTTCCACTGTCACTCGAAATATAGTAAAACATGACACTGTTAGCTTTCAGAAACACAAACAGCTAACATCTAATGTAAAATTCTGCATCTCATGTTATCCACAGATCATTCACTCCCTGACAATCAAGACCAAATTAACAATGCCGAGTCTTTCAAACTGCAAGGTCAAGAAACATTTGGCACAAACAGATAACGTTTTCAACGGTGAAATCCAATCAACTCCTTGTAATGTTTACATTCTGTCAAGTGGACAGATAGAAAATGCACCTAATTTGGACTATAAACCATCTCAGACCATATTTTGCTACTTCCTTTCTTGTCTACATCTCTAGAAACCATGCATTTTGTACTGCCTAAACTGTATTGAAATGATCCAATTTTTTTTTGTACAAAATGGCTCTTTAAATGTAAGTTATGCATCACTAAGAAACTTAACATGCTGAAAAAAATGCGTTGCGAAAACGAATTGTGTGTTCCTTCAGAAACATTCATTTTCTGTGACTGTTAAATAAACTCTTTGCATGTCATCTTCTGTGTTGCTGTAAATATGGCTTGGCCTTTTCTGGTTCTGACTGTGCCTATATGGGGATAGACACCTGCCATTTTTACAGGACTTGTCCAAACTAACCAACTCAGACATACATTGCCTTCAGCCTTCCAAAAGCAACACAAGCAAAACTGTCAACAATATTCCAATACACACACCAGCCTCCAAACTCAACATTGTTTTGGGAAAATTCATTTAAAAGGAGAAACAGACTCGTTAAAGAATGAGATCCATGAACTAAAAATTAACTTTACATTTGGATTACAAAGATTTGTCTGAAGAGATGACATTAGATTCTATAGATGGGAAAAGCTACCAATTATGTATGTACAGTATACATATTGCATTAAGTTCATGAATATATCAAACATTTTATACTCTGGAGATTTTAGAAAAAAAACAAAATAAACCCCTTAGATTATGCTGTGTTCATCTTGGCATGTAAGTGTTTCAGTAGATAGGATCACACTTCTCTTATGATTTCTTGAACATTGTGGCCTGAGTGAAGTGATGTATCCCAAGAGCAAAGCGAAACAGAGCAGGAATGCATCCATAGGCTGCTCGTCTCCCACTGATCAGATCTGGTTGCTTGGTCCGAAACACTCTATCTTGGAGGTTGAATGGAATAATTCTTCCACTAGTACATTACAGAAGCAGCATTTTTCTCTAAGCTTTTTTCTTAAGCTTTTTTTCTCCATGTAATGCAAACAGAATGACCACTTGTGACTGAATTATAAAGCTATTAGGCGGAGAAAAAAAAAAATAGTGTGTTTCCGGTAACGCGACCGACCGAGAATTTCTACGTCGAAAATGCTGACCATAAAGTTTTTTTTCTTCAAACAACCCTCTACATTTTTGTGTAGAGGGTTTACATCGGTGCAAACTCTCGTGATATTCATGTTGAGCGCGTGCGTCGTTTGCCCTGTCGTCTGTCAACAACATTGAATCATGGCAGCGGCCGCGATCTCTGACGACAGTTTAAACCGCGTTTTCTGCGTTAGTCGCATGCTCGCACTGTAATGTTAAGAAAATAGCATCCATTGATGTATCGAAAAAATTCAGCAAACTATTTGATGAGCACCATGGGCCGAGTATAAACCACGTGAAAATAGCAGAGTGTCAATGTGCCAAAGGTCAATTCTATGACATTGATGATATGGATATGTCAGTGCTTCAAGTTTTAATTGACCTAAGATCGATTCGATTTAGATGTATAGAAAAAACACAAGAAACTGTGGCAAAAACAAAGTGTAGACGTATTCGATGTCATGATGAAAACAGAACGTTCAGAAAAGGAGAAAAACTAAGAATTTCAGAAGAAAACTCCAAGGTAGGTGGGTCTACAACGTGTAACTAGACAGGTTTTGAGTTCTGAAACACACATCAAAACAAACAATCTACTATGGTTATTTTGTTTAAATTTTTGATGGGGGGGGAAAAAAAAAAAAAAAAAAAACTTTGTCCTACCTACCGACCCTATGCTTAAATCTCATATTACCTGAAACACACTATCTTTTTTGTTTGGCCTTACCATTATAATAGATTCCATCTGGTCCTTACCTGAACAAGATGAAACCAATGGACTCGACAGCTGCCCTCCTGACATCATCGTTTACGTCACTCACCTTAAAATGAAGGAAACAGTCATTCATCAATGCCAATATGGCACCTCTTCAAACCCTGCAAATAATCCTTAGGTCTACACTTTCTTCAAAGCTAATGAGGGGCCTCCTATTGATACTAGCATGCAGATGGTGCCATCTAGAGGACAGATTTGAAACACTGCATTGGCTTTATCTGCATGCCACTCGTGCTGGGTTTAAGCTGCAAGTTGCAACATTTATATTAGAATATCTTTGTGAAGCGGACCAACCACTAAACACTTACAGCGACATGTAGCAGGCGTCGGATGGCCTTGTTGTTCCCAGAGCCGCAGTAGGCCATGCCTACAGTGTACATACCGGACCTCCGCAGAATGGGGTCCTAAAAGTCAAAATGAAAGCAGTGCTCTGAGAATAGGTGTCTGAATTTTCAGCTACAATTTGATGCTCGTACAAACACTCAATAAACGCCACATTTCCTTTTCTGTGGATAATTACGACAGTTTCAACAAGTACCCCTTGTGAGGTTTACCTTGTCTCTGCAGAGAGACTCAATGAGGGCATCGGCCTCCTCCATGCGTCCATACATGACCAGAGCGATTCCCACCGCCAGGCCACGCAAAATTTTCTCATGTTGGGTTTCCTGCGCGTAGCCCACCATGTCCTCAATGGCCTGAGCAGACTTAGAGCCCAGCATGACTAGACCCAGGGCCAGGCCGGCAGCCTCACCTAGAAGGACTCGCATGATCAGTAACTCTTGCAATCTCGAATATGTTTTGGTAGAACTGTACAGTAAATCCTATAAGATGAATTAATATCATGCTGAATCATTTGAAGACATTGTTCTGAATAGATACTAACAATGTGGAAGCTAATTGTCATCAGATCATAAGTCAGAAAAAAATCAATGAAAGCTGTCACAGGTTTTTTTCAGAACATGACAACTTGTGTTGGTTCCACATACCAGTGACAGCATCATCCTGATACAGATTGGACTTGAGGAGGTCATACACATCCTGTCTCGCGGTTCCCAAAGCTGCCAGACCGAGACCGAGACCACCTCCATGACGAACAATCTTTTCGAACCAAAAAAATAAAATAAAAAATGAGGTAGGAAGCATAATATCACCTCAAGCACGAGTTACATGTCAGGATTTGTATGTTCAAGCATTTAGAGGCCAACTTACATCGTTGCTGGCGTTTTTGAGCTGACCGAGCAGGTAATCAATGATGTCTCCGCCATGATTGGCATGGATGAGGCCCAGAGCGTACAGGCCTCCTCCCTCCTGGTAGGCAGAGCCAGGGGAAGTGTCTTTTGGCAGGTATGTGGCCATTAACTGAAGGGCCTCTTTTTCATGACCCTATGAGAAAAAAATGACAAGAATTTAACAAGGAACATAACGAGCGACCTCAATTATTTTTGTATAGTGATTTCAAATATTACGTTGTGCAAAATATGGTTTCTATTGATTAATGTCACTTTAACGGACCTTGTGAATGACACCAAGACTTGCTGTTGCTGTGAATTTTGCCCAGTTAGTGGCTCTGGCAAGCCATTCAAGGTTTTCTCTGTAAACAAAAAAATAAAATACAAGCTAGAAATGTAATTAATTGTCAATACCTGTATATTTCTTTACGTGACATTTTCAATAAAGTGCTTACCTGAGGAACTGGTCACTTGTGGTGCCAGTGTGCATAAAAGAGTTGGCAATGACGGTGGCTGTGTGGCACACTGAATTTCGGACCGCATCCTGAAATGAGATGGGAAATTTGAAATAAGAATGCAAAAAAGTCACAGCAATGTCAAACAACTCTTTCTAAAATGACCAAGTAAACACAAAAACAGGAATTTCTATTTGGCCTTTTTGTCCACACAAAGTGTTTTAGGGCACTGAAAAGAGGACATGTGGAGATATTCAAAAGTTCACATTTATAGTATTTTGTGCACAATTTGGCACTCTTCCATTCCAAAATTTTTCGCAGAAATTATTATTATTGTATTTACCTTTACTGATTATATAACCACCAAATATGTTCAAGGACTTCATCACTACACGTACAGATTTCATTTTGTTCAGTGACACACTCATACGAATGTATACTGTACATCCGAGTGGCAAAAGTATGTGCTTACACAATTTTTTTCCCCATGTACTTCATCATTGGTCTCTTTTTACAGAGCTCTGAACTCACATGTTACCTTTGTGTTTTTGAGGATCATAAGATCAGTGTTGTTGTTTCGAATTAGGAACTGCAGATGCAACTCAATGGCCATCTCCCCGCTGAGGATTTTGATCATCTTGGCGTTCTGGTCTTTTGGCTCTTCCTTCTATGAATGTTATGAGAGCTTAAACTTGAGGGTTTTTTTTCCCCCTACAGAGACACATAACAATCACTGCAAATTCCTTTACCGTCTCTGCTGGCTTTCCTGCAGGGGAGCTGCCAGCTTTGTCATCTGTCTCCATTGCGTCGCTGGGGAAAGAACATTATTACTCTGCACAGGGTGCTTTTTTTAAAATTACTACAGTGCATAGGAGAGGAGAGTTGTTCCTATTTATTCAAACACAGTTTCATTTCAACTTCATGCTCACCTGTCTTTATCTGTAGTGGACACAGTGCCTGTATTGGTGGAACCAGGAACTGCTGGGATTGGTGTTCCAACCGTTCGCAGGTTTTGGATGACAGAGGAGAGGAACTGCTGGCTGGCGCTCTCATAGAGGTCAAAGCAGATCTGGTAGGCCATCAGCAGGTTGTCCTCCTTCACCAACTTTTCCAAGATATCACTGACAGCTTGGGGATCATCCAGGAATATTAGGCACTATAGGAATAAGGGGGAAAATGAGTTGATCCACATGCAGCAGAATGCTATTGTAGAACTAAGTGACTTTTGGAAGATTCACTAAAAAGGTAATGGCGTTTTTAAGACAACATCTGGAGTTACCTGACAGACATTGATGAAATCAGGCTTCTCCAGGTTCATATAGAGCTTGACCAGAACGCGCAGCACCTCATTGCGGAACTTCTTGTTTTGCATGAGCGACATGCACACCTTCAGACTATAGGCAAGAAGCCCACTGACGTCATTCTGCATAGGAGGAAATGTTACAAAACAAACACTTCATTGAGCAGCCATTAACACAAATCATATCTCTCATATGAGCTGCGGTAAGAGGGAGCATTACCGATTCTAAGATGGTCTTCTCAAACATGTCAAGGCGACGAGTTTCTAAGGCAATGCCAATGGCCTGCTTGTACTTGTGGTCGTTGAGGCACCGCAGGAACATCTTGTTGACAATGCCTTCCAGGCGGGGATCGATACTTTTCCTCTCTTCATCCTCTGGCAGCTCAGCGTTTTCCACACGCAACTTGGTGTAATGGTCGATGCATTTGGCTGGCAGGAGAAAACAGTAAATTATGAGGGGTGTCATCTTCCTCTCTCTGGTAGAGACAGCATACCACCATCATCATTAGATCTTAATCATAAGAGATGCTGTAGTGATAATCTTTGATCGCTCACCAATGATAGTTTCCACATATTCAGTGTCATCAGTGACATTGAAGAGATCCCCAGCACCAAGTGCGTAGTTCAGAGATTCCTCAAAAGCTCCAAGATGATAAAAGACCTTCGAGGCCACCAGAGCGGCAAATTCTCTGTTGCGGAATGTCTCATCTTCGTACAAGACTTCACTGCAAGTGTAAAACACAGAGAAGAAACATGATTGCAGAGGCATACTGGTTTACACTCATGCACAACATTTAGTAAGTTTTTTTCTTCTTCCGGAACAATTAAATAACGAACAATGCTTTACATGCAATATGAGGCCAATAGTAAACGTAATAAATATGCTCATTAAGTTCTTGTGCAAGAGGATCTTTATCAAAACAGTATTTTGAATACCCTTCATTGGCACATCACTGCCTTCGGGCCGAAACCTCCTGCCAAAATGTGGTCAATTTCACATTACAAATTTCATTTTTTACAAAATGATACTACTGGTCAGTACTAACTAATGTATATGAGTGTCTGAGTGTGGTGGGGGGTTATTTCAATTATATACTTACATTTTGTCAACAGATCCTGAAATTTCAGCCCAGAAGTCATTGACAAGGTAGTCAAGCTTCTGCAGTGCAAAAACCTGCAAACAGAAGTCAAAGAAATGGCTTAAACAGGGCTGTTTATTTGAAGGGAGTAGCTCAATATTGGGCTGTGGTAAGTGTCTTACTTTGAGCTGTGGTTCCTCCTCATCAAGGAGGGAAATAATTCCAGCTGGGGGGAAAATAAAGGATATTTAATTCCACGCTTTTGAGTTTTTATGCCAAATGGAACTACACATTTTTTTGTTTGTTTGTTTTGGTCTCACTTGTTTGCTGTCAATGACGTCAGTCATGAGTGTTTTCAATGCATTACTTGGGTTTCCCAGTGTTGAAAAGCCAACACAAGTACTGTATTAAGTAATCGAATTTGATTTGCCACGGTCATCCAGGTACTTTGGAAAACGTTTCTTTTAGTGTGTGGTTTTTTTTTTATTATTATTATTTTTTTTTTAATGAAGTGATGTAGAACGGAACCGTTTGATACTGTGAAAGTTCAGGGTCAGTAACTGTTCCCTATACAAGACATTAAGTGTAATAGTACCAGTTTAAACAGGTCATATTATTACTTAACGATCCGCATTGATTAAACAGGTCATATTATTACTTAACGATCCGCATTGGTAGCGTTAAGGAGAAATCCCTCCGTACTGCATTTCCAACACGTGGCTCGACATTTTAAAGTAAATATTCTTGTTTCTTGGTCGTAATGTATATAAACTATCGACTGACAATATAAACTTTCGGGAGATTTTGTAGGCTAAATGCTCACTGACAGCAGACAGTGATCTGTGTGACTCAGCTATATCAATGGCAGCTAGCTAAACTTTGGGCGACCAAAAAAAAAAAGATTGTCCTTCTCACAACTTACCGGCAGATGTAATCATGGTTAGCCTATATTCCCTCCTCTGTCCCGGGATAGGTGTTCAACAATGTAGCTCCGTACGGATTATTTTATGGTTTGCTAAATTGAACTATCAAGAGGTGCAAACCAGTGCTACCCAACGAAGCCGCTGCTAACTTCTTTTTGACAAAGCCGGAGGTCCCCGACGCTTTGCCTCGATTTTAGCTGCCCTTGCTGTGGCCTGATAAAAACCACAATATAAAAGCAACGTGTGCAATCTCATCTCCTTTTGAAAACAATCCACGTTGCTGAAATAATTTAAAACATTCGTATTTAAACATAAAAGAATAAAGGTAAAACAAAGGTGAATGAAAATAAAATCAACTGGAAGACAGGCTTTTCCACAAACGCGCTGCCGTGCATTAGTTGTTTCCTCGTTTGAATGCGGGTATGATGAAGTGTGTGTGCCACAACACTCAATACCTTTAATAAACACTGACTAAGACAAGTAAATAGATAATAAACACACATTGGGTTTTTTTTAATACCGTAACAAAAACCCAACCAGATGCGTGAACAAGCAAAAAGAATAGCACCAAATAAAAATAATACCAGTGTTCTAAAAATTGTAGTGTTCCCTCACTTATCGCGGTTAATGGGGACCGGCAAATATGATCAATCCGTTGAATTGAATTATTAAATAAAAATTTTCCATGTAATTCTGCAATTATTTTACATTTTAAGTGAATTATTTTCAGTTTTTTTGCACCCGAGTCTGAGTCCAAGTCACTTGATTTTGAATATCTGCAGAACACAAGTTCCAATCCAATACCTCTGCAATGCAGAGAACAAGAAAAAGGAAGACAAGACCCTTTTTAAAAAATAAAGGTCTCTAATGATATCTTTGTATATGGCTGCAAATCAGCCAGTGTTTTAAATCAAGTAAAGAACTAAAGTATTTTATTCGTGACTTCAGAAATTAATATGATTTAAAAATCTTATCTTTTTTAACCGATACCAATCAGCTGAAAATCATGTGATCATGGACAACCCTAAAAAAAAAATTGGAATGAATTTGACAACAGACACAAAATTGTGAATTGTTTTTATTCAAATATGTATTAGACAATCTATAAACCTAATAAATACCTACAACAGTAGAGCAAATTAGTTTACTTCTGAAAAGCCTATTCTAAGGCACACTATAATGTTTTAAATAATTTGAGTGAAAAAGAAGAAAGTGATTCAGCCTCGAGAAGAAAATTAGCTTTTCAACAAAAATACAGCAACGTTGATACTATTTTGAAGTCCAACATTAATTTCACTCTTCAGTAGCTCAAATAAGTTTAACCCAAAATTCGGAATGCACGAGTTACAGTAGTTTTGGTCAACTGGAAATAACATTGTGCGTGACAACCTATTACACTTCCTTGAAAGTGTGTACACATGCAAGGCAGCATTTAAATGTCATGATAAGGCAAGTCTGTATTATCTTTTGTCTGGCTTAGCACTGAGAAACTTGAGCACCACGAATTGATATCCTGAAGGCTCTTGACACCAGCTTTTTGCCAAAAGAGTCCCGACAGTCACAGTGTTGGGCTCTTGGTCACATGACATCAAGCATCTGCTCCAGGTGATTGTTCATTCGACCCAGCAGATGTGGAATTGCTTTTCAAAGGGATGTTCTCCTCTACACTTCCAGAGTCACCTAGAAAAAAAAAAGGAGCTGTGAAAAAGTACCCAATATGAATCCCCTTCATTTTTTTTTTCACATTGTTGTGGTTAACTTATTTTGACCATAAACAATCGCGATCGGGGCTCTTGTTGGTAAATTAGCCAGTGATGGCTTCACGTAAGCTTCATTAATTTGCAATCTGGACGCAGAGGGTGAATAGGAGTCGAATGGTGTAAAGGTCATTTATAGTGGTGCTTTGAAATATGCATTTAATTCGTTCTGTGTTCGCATTAAGCTAGTGAACTTTATGGCAAAGTTACGTGGTTGTTTCAAGTACTGTACAATGTAATTCTCTTATGTTTAGTTTGACAGTAAACTTCAACTAACAGTGGCTTGAAATAACTTGTAGCCTTTTTTTTAAAGAATTATTCTCTCACTTTTAAACTGCTTAATGTGAAGAGAGTTGCCGCCATACAGTGCAAGACAAAAGAAACAAATATTTTTAAATGAATTGCCTTTCTTTAAAGGTTTCATTTGAAATGCTTTTATTGTGTTGTAAGGATCTCATCTTATGTTCATTCTTTGCAACTGGTCCCATAAACTGCCATATTTTTTCTAAAATATGTTCAAGAGGAAGTCAAGTGAAACATTTTCATTACAATATGTCCTATGCAGCCCCACTAGTCCAAACACAGTATTTTGATTAATATTGTGTTTGTGGAATACAGTACACAATTAAGCAGAAAAATTCATCTGTTTTGAAATCCAACTCATGGGGCGGCCATTTTGCCACTTGCCGTCGACTGAAAATGACAACACAGTTTCCAGGGCGATTCTAGGATTAGTGGTTTAGGGGTGGAACACAGAGGTCAATGGGTGCTACAAAGACCGGGGAGAAGGGAGCTGAATGTGGGGGTTGGGGTAATGGGAAGTAGTGGGTGCTGTGCATCAACCGGCGAGGGATTGGGGGCATTTCTCCCCAAATGTGCGCAAGAAATCAGTATGTAAACCAAATGTGATCCAAGTTAATTAAAAGAGCAATACCACGGGAGAAAAGGATTGTAATTATAAAATATATACATATGGTAACACTAATTTCTGTGTGGGAACAACTTATTTTGATAGAGCAGCTCCTCCACATGCATGTTTCTGGAGTAAACCAGTCCCTTATGATGAGTAAAATTGTTGTGCCACTTTTTCTTGAAAGGCAGTCTCATCCACATTCATCTGCTCCTCATTCAGTTGTGCTCATAAATTTACATACCCGAGGGGTATTAACTGGACATATGTAGCCCCCGCCCCCACTACAAGGCACCACACACAGCTCCGCACAGTGCGCACATCAACATGGCTCGCCGCTCATAAGCAGAGGTGGAAAGGGTAAGGTGAATAAACCGTTTTTTAAGCAAAGGAGTATGCTGTATTTTTGCTGTTAAAGTATTACGTTCCAACTATGTATTGTATGGTGTTTACAATTATGGGGCTCCCACAAAAAAAAAAAAAAATGTTTGAGGTGTTTGGAAGTCTCTTCGGGGTAAGTCCAGCACCAGCAAAATGACCTAAACACGGCTCTAACAGTGTCAAAGAGCTCAGCTTGTGAACGTCACATGAGTAAAGCCAGAAAACAGGTGAGTCATAATTGGTCGTTACTTGAGCCCTACTGCACTGTGATGCCATTTTCAGTCGACAGCAAAATGGCCACCCCCTACGATGGCTAAAAAAATGTGGCTTTTGCCCCTTAATTCCACAAACGTAATATTAATTAGATTAGGATGTTTATAGTGGGGGCAAGTAAAATATATTGTAAAGAAAATTTGCACTTGATTTTCCCCTTTAGCCGTTTGCTTGTTGAAGCCAAATGGGATTTTTGACCTGGAAGCGTGAAACAAATCCACGAGCAGTTCAGTTGTCTGAATGTGAAACAAAGCATCAGATAACTGCTGTGAAAATAAATGCTTCCTACACTTCCTTGAACTCAGGATCCTCACCGGATGAAGAACGTGTTGTCTTAACTGGGTGTTGCCATGCTTTTCACCTATGGCGTTTAAGATGGAATAAATTTAGAAGTGAAAGTGTCATACCGATCGAATGGATAAAGGTTGCGAAACAGATGGTGTGGGAGAGTTCATGTCAGTCAGTCTCGTCCATTGACATGTTGTTGCTAACCTCTCCGCTTGCTGGTAGGAGAACTGCTGGCTGCTCCTCTGGCTCCTCCTCTATTAGACCTGAACAAACACTGGAAGGGCCACAAAAGCGGGTTCTCGCGATCCTCGGTAATATCTGCAAGGGAATAATGAGCATTTAAAAAGTTGGCAACTTATCTTAAATGCTTTATTTTCCCATGAAAGCTCCTTTTGTTCTTGGACTTTTTTTTCAGGAAGAAGTGGTGGTCTTGTGAATGTCATGCTTTGACCTACTTTCATTTGTCTGCCCGGTGTTCGGCGCATTAGTGAATTTATGGCTGATGGCCCTTTACTTTAATCACCTAAAACACGTTGCGAAAGTTGTTATCATAAGGAAAAATGTGTCCTCTCTTGTTGTAATGGGCAGTCAAAGCTGCATGCTGTCCTTCATTCAGGTTAAAGACCTGAAAGTTTAAAACAAACAATACAGATAGTAGAAATATTTGTACATGTCACCATTTCACAATCTGGCTTTTGTCGCTACGCAAATGGCAGAAGATAGCCAAAAGCAGACAGCCGCAGAGTATAATATTACAATAATAATAATAATAATAATAATGTGGAAAAAATATTAATGTTACATGATCAAAGGTGTATCCTGCTGGGAAACAATTTTGTTGTGCACTTTTCACAACAGTGTACACTGTATCACTATGGGCAAATTCATCACTCCTTGAATGTCATCTATGCAGCACTTTAAAGGGGAAGTCAACTCAAAAATTGTCTTTACAAGAATATGTTTTTTTTCAGCCCCACTAGTTTAACTATGGCATTGTGATTAATATTGAGTTTGTGGAGTATGAGTTAAGCAGCAAAATCCACCTGTTTTTGTTTATCTCACATGGCAGCCATTTTGCCACTTGTTGTCGACTGAAAATGACCAATCATGGCTCAGCTTCAGAAAACACACTGAAATGGTCGTTAGTCAGTCGCAGGGCACATATTGAGATGGACAACCAGCCGCACTCAAAATCCACACCAACATTGAGTGAGAACTGAGCTGCCTACATTTAAGTCAGGCCAATGTACCAGTAATGAGGATGCACTGTAATCATCTTAAGACCTTTGAATCACAACGTGAAAACTTAGCGCAACATTAGGGATAATTGTGGCCATGATGTCTCACAATCTAATTTAGGACATATGTAGCCCACCACTTCATTTTAGCATCTGATCCATTATAGCATTAGACACTTGATCCCCAAATCAAGAACTTCATGCTTCTTATTACTTGGATTTGTTCTTTTCATTTGGGAAGAAATGTTTTCCAAAATTGCGTTTTTCTTCACTCTGTGTTTAAATATTATTTTCATCACATCCTGTCATCACATAAATTGGACAATAGTTCTACTACGAAACTATTGCATTTGCTTGGGCCTAATTACAACAATTTCTAAAGGCAAATTCAGTTTGTTGTCAAAAATATCCATAACAACAACCAAATCCATGATGATGAGGCGATAATACATTTATTTCAGTTTACGACTTGTCCCTTGACAAAAATTATTTTGACTCCCCTTTCCCGCTTTGCAAGGGCTGGACAATACTGTATTTCATGCCCGCTTACTCATTAGTTCACACCTGTAGTTTGGGAACAAGCTATCACTCTGCAGACGTTCTTCTTGATGTCGAGCACGCTGCCTGGCGCGCCGGGGAGGAACGAGGCCACCCAGACGGTGTCAGCTGGATGTTGCGGGAACACCTTGCGGATGAGCATCTCCAGGCGTTGGACGCATCGGCGGCTCTCGTCGCTCTCACCCGCGGTGATGCGCACTAATCCAATCAAGGCCGGTAAGGTGCCGCTGGCTCGATTGGTGCGCGCCTTGACGTCCTTGAGGACCTCCTTCAAGCACAGCTCGCTGCTGATGAAAGTCTGCCTGAAGAGGAACACGATGGCGGGGCAGTCGATGGTCCTCCGGCGGCTGGAGCTGCTCGACTGCCTGATAACTGTTCTTTGGGTGCCACCCGGGCAGGCTCCCGAGTCCAAATTGTCGGGCGTCCCCTTGGGAGGTTTGTCGCCGTAGCCCTTTGGGCAGACGTGGCGTTGATCGCCCCCAGCAAGGGTAGAAAGAAGCCGTCGGTCGCCGAACAAATCGTCGATGAACTCCCGCACCACATCGGCGTCGCTCTCGCTCGCTTTATTCCTTTCTGCCGCATCACTCACCAAATAGATCTTCTCTTTGCCTCCAATTGAGGCGAGCGTCTTCTCAAAGTCGCTCTCACCGGACATGGCTGCCTGCGTGTGGCAACTGGTAAAACCAGACTAGAAGAGCCAGGCTCAGCGCCACCTCCGTGCCATGCAGCCAAGAAACGTTTGCACGGTTGTCAGCTGCATGCCCGGTGGGCGCGGCTATGGAGCGGAACCTAAAACTCAACGTCTGTTTCTATTGGCTACTTTTCTTGGTGGGCGTCGGCAACTCGACGGTTTGGAAATTAATCATAGACATATGTGCACAAATTACATATTAAGCACTACACTTTCCGGTGATATTATCGCCATGTTGGATGTGGTAAAGTGGAGCGTGCGGCAAATATTCAATGTCGCTAGAGATGTACATGTTGTCAAAGACATATAGGATTAAGACAAAATCCACCCATCCATTTTCTAATCCTTATATATTTACAAGAATCGCGGGCGTGCTGGAGCCTATCCTAGCTGTCTTCGGGTAGTAGGCCAACCGCAGGGCACACATGAAAGAATAACCATTCTCGCTCACAATCACCTCGGGATTATTAGTATTTACATTGATTAATCATAATCATTGACTTTAAATGACTCAATACAAAAAATATTTATCAGAATCAATTAATGTTAAACATGACAAACAGGATATCATATTTGGATATATATTCAGCTATTGCTAGTAGTTATTACGGTCACAGAATAAATAACTAATATTAATATTTCAGTATTGATGTTAAGATATGTGCTCTTACCTCTGAAATAGTGTGTTGCTATTGTATTGTATTTGTATTAGTGTATTTCTTCCACACTGTGAGAGAGGCAGGTTGTGTCATGTGTGCGTGATGGCCGTGGACATAAAAAAAATCAGGCAGCCAGGAGAACCAGGGAGTACTGAAGAAAATGTATTACCAAAAACACTTGCAGGGGTATACTCGAAAAACTAAATCCAAAACATAAAGTCCTACAAGAATCCCAATAAACCAAAGGAACAAACAAACAAATCACATGACAGTTGACCAAAACAATATGACAGGAACAGAAACAAAACCCGGTGACAGTCACACAATGATCCGACAAAGATCGACAGAAACCAGGGAACCAAATACAGTACAAGCAAACTGGCGTGACAACAAGGAACACCTAGACAAGGCACAAAGTGCTGAAGGAGCTGACTGGTTGACACAAGGGACCCGGAAGACAAGAACAGGTGGAAACAAACCAAACTAGAAAGACAAAAGCACACAAGGAAACAAAACCAATAGGTAATCTAAACAAAAACAGAATCATGACAGGTGTGTGTAGTTATTTGTCAGTCTTATACAGTGGCTTGCAAAAGTATTCAAGGGGGCACACTTGAACTTTTTGAGCTTTTGCACATTTCAGGCTTCAAACATAAATATATAAAATTGGATATCTTGTGAAGAATCAACACGAGGTGAGACATTATTATGAAGTGGAACAAAGACTTTTCCGCCCAGCTGTTGCGGACCATCATCTTTTTGAAGGTGGGCCTGGTGCACCCACATGGTGTGCCCAAGACAGCGGTCATCACAGCTTTGGCCTTTTTGAATGCGGCAATTGAGGAGCTAATACTCTTGATCAGTGGTTCTTAACCTTGTTAGATGTACCAAATCCAACCAGTTCATATGCACAATCACCGAACCCTTCATTAGTGAAAAATAAAATTATGATATTTTTTTTTTTTTTTTACAAAATCAAGAGATAAAAAAACACATTTATAAAAGACAGAAAAAAACCTAAACACAATTTCAAGACAAAAGTATAAGTTTTTTCAATTGTGCACAAAATGAACCAGCCAGTGTGTGCCTTAACCTCCATGGCAGAGGCTTCGTCAAACCCCTGAGACGATTCACCGAACCACTAGGGTTCGATCGAACCCAGGTCAAACTGCTAGTTTGCTACCATGGTCTGCCACATCCAATATGGCAGGTGAGATGACGCACCACAGCAATGGCCTCACTTACTAATTAAGACTTCTATCTATATAAATTTATTACATGCCACAAAATCAGATCTCAATGGGACTAACATGGAATAAAGGTTGAAGGATAAGAAAAACAAACTCATGTTGTCTGTAACTGAGACAAATTATATGAATGTGTGCACACCACAATTCGAATCACATGTGGCGGTGTCATAAAAAGTGGTACAAAATTTGGATGATGAAATCTCACAGGGCAGAGGTCACTCTTTCAACTTTGATTATCCGCATGGAAAAAAGTCCTGCCTGTCCTCCTATGTTGTCGAGGCCGGCTTTTACAGTGAAAAGATGAGACAAAATCATGACCAAGGCAACACTTCAAATCAAGAGGCTTACTTTGAAGCATTAGGGCGGGGAAACGCTAAAGCTGCCCTTGACTTTCCATTTTAATGAAAAAAAAAAGTTTCCAAGAGCCTAATCCCTTAATCTACAAATGCCTTTTCCTTCATTGAAAAGGTGCTATCAGCCCGAAATACTATTTATTGTACACTTCACATAAAGCTTCACTACTAGCGATGAATAAATAATAGGCTGCAGGTCTGACCAAAACAAATAACTAAACAAATACAAACCTTTGGACCTGCGTTGATTAGTTGAGTGGCCTGTGTTTGTTTCCAAAGTCTCTGTTGTGTTTGTGGCAGCTGTTCATCTACTTACCTCCTTGTTTAAGCGAACCGACATCTGAGGGTCAAGAATGCCACTTGAACCAGTCACAGTGACATGCCGTCCAAGACGAACTGAGGGGGGGGGGAATAAAACCCCCAACAAACCAAAAAGACAGCATACTCTGAATAGCAGCATGATAAAACACGCGTATTTTCTACAAACCTTAAAATAGTGTCACCACAATTCACTATCAGAAAACCATTGTTGACTGTAACGGGCAATGTTTACAGCAATGACCAAAGTGTTAAAAAAAAAAATCAAATACAGCTCACTTGACTCAGTGTTGATTTAGCCATATAGTACTGAGCAGCTTGGAGAGAGAGGCTAGCATTCATCACGAGTTCAGTTTCTGGGACTATCATCATCACGCTTCTCCCACTTGTCACTTCTCTTCTTTGCTCGCTGTTACTCTGCGGTGATGGACTGACAAAAAGCCAAAGAAAACGGAACTGAAGGAGTTAATACTCTAGATGCTCACTGATTTGAAATCACACCAGCTTTGCTCAGGTCTCCTGTGATGTCATGCAAAATGGCAGTTTATTCCCGAATGTTATGTTAGGTGTCAGGTGTCAAACTCGAGGCCCAGATCATTTTATGTGGCCCGCAAAAGCAAATCAAACATGTTAACTTCTACGATGATTGCTAAAGTTAAATGTCAAACTTTAGAGGTCAGTGGTTGTTTTGCTGAAAGTAATTCTAATGCAATACAGAAGTACTGTTAGTGTTACTGTAATTCAAAGTCAGTTATCTTGTACTGCAAAGAATTTCATACACTGTATATTTTTGATTGCTTTTTGGGAGTGCGGGGGGTGTTGGGGTGTGGGTCAACTCCAATTTTTGGGAGAATGCTTATTGGTGCTTCATCAGCATTTCAAAATCATTTTTATTAAATAAAATCATAATTAAATAAACACAATTTCATGCATTAATAATGGGCATCAATTAGGCGCGTATCTATTTATTTATGTCCCAGTCCTCTCCTTATCCCTCAGAGGGTTTTGAAAGTAGGCTACCCAACACAGATCATAATGAGTTGAGATAGTAAAATAGCATACTTGTGTTTGAGTTCACCAGAACTCAGAGAGAGGAGAGATGAGTGGAACCTGAGGCCAGATTTCTCCTTCCTATTCTGTGGATGCTCTCCTCTGTCATGTTCAGGTGCTCTGGAAACTACATAGGCAAGACTGTGGAGCAAAGATGTTATAATATAGTAATTTTAATCCTTGTTATGTATTTGTCAGTCAATGACACACACACACACACACACACACACACACACACACACACACACACACACACACACGATTTAATAATAACCACCTGTTGTCAAAGAATGTTGCAGGTGTCGTTGCTCCTCCAGTGGCATGACTTGCCCGAAACTTTAGGGGAGGTATTTGGTGAAAAGTAGACACTCAAAACAAAACAAAAGCCTCACCCAACGAAGACATGCATATCATGTCCCTCTGTTGCAAAACGTTGTGAAAAAACAAAATGGGAACCAAAACATACATGGAGTATAGAGGATAAAGGACCACTCATACACAATTTAACATTTTCAACCGAACAAAGGTATAAACACTGACACGAGAGTGAATATTTGGCAAGGTGATGGTGATACTTGTGGGATCATTTAACCTTGAAGGACAAAATACTCCTATTTCTTCCATGTCTCACACACACACACACACACACACACACACACACACACACACATACATACATACACATACTGTATATATAAACAACAACAAAAAAAGCACACCATTGGTCAAATATCAATATCTGTTACAGATTCACAATTACGTTCTGTTCCATTCCACTTCCCACTCCTGCAAGTAGTTGTCTAAAACAGGGCTTGGCAAAATATGGCCCAGAGGTCACATGCAGCCTGCTCCATTCTTCAGTGTAGCTCCCTAAACATTTATTAACAATGGCCCTGTAATAGTTCATACACGCATTTTCATCATCCCTCCTCCCCTCCCATTTACTCAGAACCTGGCCTGTTTGACTATTTTTAAATTCAAATGTGACCTTTGAGCATGAATGTTTGCCCACCCTTGATCTAAAATATGTGGTAAAAATAGTTGAACTTAATAAGGATTAATAACTAGATATCCATTAGTTGTCAGAGCTGCACTTTTCTCTCATTTACCAACAGTCAGTCCAAAGTAAGCACGCAAAGACAGCAATACTCCATATTGGAAAAAAAGACATGTCGGAAACAATTTTCCCTGTTGGTCATAGCAGGAAAGTAAAGGTCGCAGTGGTGGAGTGCATTGAAAAGTGTGGGACAATCTGTCCGATTCTTGAAAATCCCAAGTAACCACGTTGGGAATAATATGTTTTAAATTACAGCTGTACAAAGCTTTGGCCAGAGGGAATGGCTGACTATTGGCAAGAAAGAACTGTATGTGAACCCTTCAATAATGCGTCAAAATATATAAAAATTGTTCCACAAGCTGTGTGATCACTATTTTAAAACAGTATATACTGTATGTGAGTAAATACAATTGCCCTGGGGAAGGATGTCCGGTTTGTGCCGTATGATAAATAGTATATAATGTCATGTAGTATCCATCCATTAACCATATACGGAGTGAAGTTATGTTTGGTTTACCATAAAACTTCCTCTCGATGGCGCTCATAATTCGGGAGAAAAAAAAAAACAAATTTGTACTTGACGTTCCTTTGAAATTCGCTAGGTGGCAGTACGACCCTAGTAATAACCTTGTGAGAGGAACCGAATATCACACACACACACACACACACACACACACACACACACACACACACACACACGTATCAATTCATCCATCCATCCTCCCGTCTATCTATAGGACTGTTTTTTAATACTGATTATTTGCCTTTCAATGATGTTGCTTCATTCCAGTTTAAATTCTGGATCATGATCGTGAAATAAGGTGGTGTGACAATTGATCCACTGGATGAAATGTTGAAATCTAGCCACCCATCCATCTCTAGATGCGAACTTGGACTGGTCACCAGTCAGTCACAGGGCACAAATAGACAAATTAGCATTCACAATAACATTCGTACAATGGACAATTTAGAACAGTAGTTACCAACCTTTTTTTTAACCGAGAGCTACTTGGTTACTGATTAATGCAAAGGGCTCTCCCAGTTTGATAGAAACTTCTGAAATAATACATCTGCTCAATTTACCTTTCATATATGTAATTATTAATGAATCATGATATTCTTCAATGTGAATTGAGCTATTTTAAAATAGGTGGGCAACATGTCGGTGACCCCTAATTTAGTTTTAAGTGAACCCTATTATCAAATATAAGATGAGCTGTAAAAAATGTTCCATGTGTCTCACTTCTCAAGATTCAGGGGTGCCCTTCTGTGTCCATACGGGATATTTTCAGGAGTCTCTATAGAACGAAAAAGTCGTCCAATTAGGCTGGATAGATAGTTGTGACAGAGAGACTGACTTAGTAAGTGCATGGAAATTGAACATATACATGTTTTTCAACAAACAAATAAAGTTGGTAAACATGTATTGTTGTAAGATGTGAAAAATTAACTCGCAGACTCATAAAAAAAGCAAAGGTCTAGAGTGTCCTACTGGACCAAAAATAAACAAACAAACCACATTATAAGCATCTTTTCCAGGACAGTGAGTGTGGACAGAGGGCACTTGTCCACGAAAAAGACACCAGGCCTCAGTGAGAGGAAGATGTCACAGATGGCAAAACCTTGAACACGTCACACGAAACCCGCATTCCGTGCCTGGTCAGAGGTCACAGAGTTGACAAGCTGCACAGGCCTGAAAGGAAGATGAGGTGTTGTCATTCAAGTCAATATCTACTCATCACAAATTTATTTTTGTGCGTGCGTTCGAAATGTATGTATTTACTTATTTAAAATCCCTACCATTATTACTGGCAGCACAGTCTTTCGATTAGAAAATGGATGGATGGATGGATGGATGCAAAAAGATATACTCATGATACTCTTTTTTATTATTTTTTTATTGGCAGAGGGAACCAATTGGTCAAGGCTGCAAACTGATGTTATTTATTGTTGTTTATGAAGCTGGTCATTAAATTTTGTTTTGTCACGTTGAGGATGGACCACATTTTATGTGTAATGAAGAAAATGCAAAATGTGTCCTTTCTTTGAGCGCAGCAGGGATCTCAGATATGTTGAACTGATTACTATGATTCTTATTTTTTTATATTTCAATTTAAAAAAAATTAACATGTTAAATAGGCAAGGAGCTGCAAAGTCCCTGAATACACTCATTAACTTTTTTCACTTCCCGTTGCCATGTGTTGTGATAGACAGCTGCCGGTACAATGCACAATATAATACAAATATTCGAGTACACTCTGCTATTGTACAGTATACTGTGACATTGAACGAGCTGTGAATTCTCAGAGGGCCACATATTGTTTCCAGAGTCAACCTTTTTTTTTTCCATCTGGCCGTCAGGGTCAATTATTGAAGCGGCTTTCTATGATGCAAATCAGGGCACATTTGAAATGTGGACCTTGGTTGCATTAATTGCATCCTGGGTTCTGATGTGCAGGTGCAAGAATAACAACCTTCAGTTCAGAAGCCTATTAGTCAGTAGTAGCCAAAAGTTGTGCCCACAAAAAATATATAACAAGTGCATGTGGTGAGGCAGGACTGAAGACTTTACTGATTACAGTGGAACCTCCAAACTGAAACGCTCCAATAGAGAAGTCATTTGAAGACCAACAAAACAATTTCTGGGATTGAGACGTCAGTTTAGTGAGCATTTTAAGGATTAATTCAGATTTTGATTTGTTCTCACTGCACAAAGTGATAGCAAAAAGTACAATTGTGATGATAATCAAATAACCAGAATATGGCTGTTCAGTACGATGTAATTCATCGATCCATATACGGTTCTATTTGTTACAAGGAGTTGGAGCCTTTGGTAGCTGACTTTTGATGAAAGGCGGACTGAACCCCGAACTGGTCACCAGCCAATTATAGGACAGACAGAGAGACAGTCAACTATTTCCGCTCACATTTATGAGTTAATAATTACCGGTACACAAACTACCGGCAATTTCCCCGAGCAGATCTGCAAACATATGCAACAAGACATACAAACAACCCTTTTGTGACAGTCTCGCTGTGAAAACACCTTCCTGTTTCCTTTCCATTACTTGTTTGTCAGGCGGTTTTGTAGGCCAAGGAAGCTGGAGCCCATCCCAACTGACTGTGGACAAGACACAGGGTACACCCTCGACGGGTTGCCAACCAATAGCGGGGGACATATCGACAACCATTTGCACTAACATTCACACTAATGGACAAGTTAGACTAAATGAACCTAAAATGCATATTTTTGGAATGGAGGAGGAAGCCCGAGCAAATGCTAAAAAAAAACAACAACAAAAAAACGTCAAAGGCCAGAATCAAGATTTCAACCCAGAACCTCAGAACTGTAAAGCAGGCATGCTAACCACTACCGCAGGGCTGTCCTAATTTGACCTTATTTTATTCAAGCTGTATAGAAAATGGATGGATAGTCCTCAAATTTGCACACTAATGATGACCGACATCTTCGGCGGTTCCACTGCTTGTTTTTCATGTGAAAAAAAGAAAGTCTTAGTATCGGCGTAATTTTCCAAACACTCCCTCTAATTTGGGGCTCCTGAGTAGATGACAAATTGGCCCCCACGGTACCGCTGACAAATTATCCACCCCGAAGCCTAATCAAGTTATCAATATCAACAAATGTCCCATCAGGGGCATGAAGCGGTGACACTCCTAAAAAGAAACCCCAGAGGGGACGACACATTTCTAGCAGTGGGACACTCAGAAGGACGTCCAGGGAGGCTTGAAAGGAAGTGGCCCCCAGCGGGGGATCCCTCTCATGGTGAGTCCAAACTCCTGGCCTCCGGCGCTGGACATGGCCAGGAGGTTAGCATGGGGAATGTACATGAGTTAGCACTACACGCACACACACACACACACACACACACACACACACACACACACACACACACACAATGGGCCTTCCCAGCACAATACGCATCTTGCAGGGGGACAGAGTTGACTGAAGGCCCACTATGGTGGTGTGAGGGGACATAGGTCAGGGTTTAAGAGGCTCACGTACTGTTAATGTGAGGTCAAAGTCATACATCACTGCTGACAGCACCCATCTCCAATGGCTGTCCTCTGTCCTGAACACCACATTGAATGGCATTAGTCACCTTTGCGCGCTCAGGAATGTTCAAAGTGAGGAAGTCCACTCAAAAACGAGAAAGAATTTAGCAATGATGTAACCTGTGTCAAAGGTGTAACGCGATCCCTTAGCTCTGCACGTCTGGATAGTGGATATAAACATATAAACAGCACAGAGGAAATGAAGAGCGACACATTTTAAAGAATGGTAAAACCTTATAATGCAATTGCATATGTATACAATTTCCTTTATCTGTCAACTCATGGAAATGTTATGTTCCATAAAACTTGTCTGGTGCAAGACAAAAATGTGTTGCTGCATGATATATATATATATATATATATATATATATTTTTTTTTTACCAGTCTTAGCATAGCCTAAATTATACATAAACCTCCAGGGGAAAAAAAAAATCCTAATCTTAAAATGAAGATACACCAGCCTGCTCTTGTCTGTGACGTTTACAAAATCTGGTCTAACTTCGCAGGATTTACACTGACAGGTATTTAAAAAAAGAGAGCTACAGAAGTTTTGCTATTAATAATTAAATGTTGAACTTCTTTTTATGCTTGCGTGGCAATTAAGAATGTTAAAAAATGGGATGCGTGAGGCCCATGCGCGACATAATCATCTTCCATTGAGGGAATCGTTGGAACGTTAATACTGAGGCCTCGATATTCGTGCCCAGCGGAAGTCTGGAGTGTGGCATGAATCTGTGCATGGTATTGTTTTGTTTTGTTTTTTTTGTCAGGCACATGCAACTTTTCAGTTACAAAAGGGGCATTATGTGCTCTTGTGCTGATGGTCCATGTCCAATAGAAGCTGTATCTTATAATAATATTGACGGTTGCTACGGCTGGGCTTGCCCACCTAGATGCTTATATATTCTGTTTTGATTAACATTGTTTTGTTGACAGAATAATTCCAACAATGTTTTTTTTTCATGTCAATGATTTAAATAATAATCTACAATTCACTGAATAATTCCATCAATGTTTTTTTCATAAAACTTATATCAGAATCTACAATTCAGGATTTTTTTTAAAAGAATGAAAAAAATACTGACTTAGAGGGTGTTTCCAATTTTTTGACAGGTATCGTATGTATATATTCTTCTTGGAGGAGCCAATGCTAGAGGTCTCCCAGTTCTTGTGCTATGTTTTTATGCTGATGGTGCATGGAGGTATGAGAGCCAGCATTCCCTCCATGCACAAGGGTGTCCAGATAAGCCGATAGGGGTGACGTCTGGCTCAGCATAGAGGCAAATGTTTGACAAGCTCTTTCACCATCTGAGTTACCTAATGTGCGCGCGCACACACACACACACACACACACACACACACACACACACACACACACACACGAGTGATTCATAAACCCACATCAACAATGAGGGGTTGCCGTCAAGGCTTTTTTTGTGTTTTGATAAGATTTTAATCCGGCTCAAGTGCTGAGAGTTAGTAAAACAGAGGAGCTTGTGACATGCTCTGCTCGTTAGTCTCTCCATTAAATGTTTTCGCCATTTGTGAAAAAGTGCACTGAATTAGCCTCTCCGCTCTGCTGCCTCTCCATGTTAAGAGTCTGATTAGTAGTGTGCCGCTGTGTTTCTTTGTATGTGCCTACTTCTCTGTGCGGACGAAAAGGAAGAAGACGGGCAGGGCAGGTACAGAGCAAAACGCCAGGAGGTGGGGGTTCAACTTTGACCCTTTTGCAGAGAGTGACGTGGGTCTATGCAGCAACACAATACTTCCAGCACGCAGCCCTCGCTGGCTGCCTGCTGCGACCCACAAAGAAGCCCTTTGGTGAGGACTCTGCGGTTAGAACAGCCCCCTGGAGTGCTGACTGCTATCTGGGAGTCTTTCAGTGCTTTCGCTCCTCTCCAGCTCACCATGCGAGGAAGGAAAAACTCAATAAGAGAGAAGCTACAAGGGGAACAATGCTCTATAGAGGGCATCTTAACCCACAACAAACAGTGTCAACATGTGTGGGGAGTGCATGGAAAGACAGACACGGAGTCCGCCAAGGACAGAAAGGACTGTTTCCATGTGGGCCGGCAAACTGAAAGGGCTACAGTGTTGTTTTGTTGCATACGAGAGGGATTTGGTCTTTTTTCAGCGGTGGCCGGCAAGCATTTTGGGGGCACCAGATAAAGTAAAGCATCGAGAGCAGGACCTTTCTTCCCCCGGCCTGCACTTTTGGAGAGGTGAAGAAGATTATTGTTGTCCACACCGAGAAAGAAAGCCTGCATCAAAGTCAGCGAGGAGCGTGGCCCGGATTGAGAGAGCGAAGGCTAGATGTTAGGATAAGGGGTGAACACGGAAACATGTTGAGCGTGCGTCTGTGTGTGTGTGTGTGGCCCAGACACGTGCGGGTGTATTAGATCCTCGGAGAAAAAAAATGTACTTCCATTTTCAACCGCACTCTCTCCAGCGTGTGGGCTCCTCTCATGTGTACATAAAGGATCTGTTCATCTCCCGCTTTTAGTTCCAGAATGCATCCAGTCGTGAAAAGACTTCTTTCACCACTTCCCTTGCAGTAATGCTAGCCAGCGCTCCAATTTACCAGTTTACCACCAATTGGGCCTAAGTGGGAGCGTGTGGGAGTCCAGGTGCTTATCATTGTGGTTTCTGAGAACACAGGGTGGGAACGATGTGTCACGCTCCTGCATGTCTCTGTCAACAACATGCACATACATGCAGTTGGATACGGGCGTTTTTGATAGCTGAACTGGCACAATATGGAGACATTTGCCGTTAATGTAATGCGAGATGGCAGTTTCAACTCCAAAATTTTGCGCCAAGCAGCAAAACACATGAAGAAGTAATACTTGGATGCCGAGCCGAACTGAACTGAAAGGCACAGCGTTAAGTGTATTCGTTTTTGGGGGGTTTCACTGTGCAGTGTCTCCTTGTATCTGTAAATTATTTGGGGTGGGGGCCAGGGGTCCTATTCTTTGTTAGTCACAAAAAAAAAAAAAAAACCAAAAAAACAACAACTCTCCTATTTGCTGTATTTGTGTCTGATGTAAAAATATTACTTTGGAGCCATCCTATGGCATATTGGAACGAAGAACTTCCGTTAAAGTGAGAAGAGGAACATTATGCTCTTCCTCTTCCATGTTCACATTCTTCATTCACGGCAAAAGCGTCATCGCGGCAAACGCGGTGGCCAGCTGGTGAAGCTAAAATAGATGCTAAAACACCTTTCGTGCTGCAATTGTTCCCAAACATGGATTTACTCCATCATGAGGCTTCCTGGATCCTGTTGATTCCAGCCCGGTCATCAGCTTTTGTGCAGGGGCTTCAGCTTTGATTCCCTCTGCGCCGCCTTCGACGCGTGGCGGATCTCCAGCTTCTGAGGGAGCTTCCCTGAGTTTAACGATCGGAAGAGACACATTCTTATGTTACTGCAATAAGGACCACGTCGTAATCGTCCAGTTATTGACAAACAAAACATTTATCCTGAGGGAGCTCATCCTTTCCAGTGACCTGGATTTCCTCTGTCTAATGGGGACTTGGACAGGCACTGGTGAGTGCAGGCCTTTGTTTGAATTGCTGCCCCCTGACTGTGGCTTTTTTGACTCCCTACTGCAACACATCTGATTCAAATGATCAGAATCGTTATCAGGCTCGCGGAGAGTTTTTGGTGGTGACGCAAATAGACGGGTTCATTACTGGGATCAAAGAAGACATTCCGTCGGTGTAGGAGCAGCTTGAGGTTTCCATTTCTACACTCAGCAATTTTAGGGGCTCAGGTGTACTTCGAGTTTGCAGTCGCTTTATTTAGAATTGGGGCTCCGCTCCTCGTCGTTATGCTAACGTAATCTGTACAGCAGTATAAGGTGCGGGATGAGGGCTACCTTACTTACATAAGACGGCCAAGCCCTGAAATGGTTTGATTTCGGCAAAACAAGAAATTGGGTGCATAAACTATTTAACAATTCTAGGAATTTGGCATATTTTGACAAAAGCAGGTCACAGACATGCAATTAAAACACCTGGGATCAGATTAAAATTCTCCAGATTCATATTTGATTTTGTTTGGTTAAGAGTCAGACTACTTTGAATGGCAACCAAGTTACTCTTGATTGAACACTGCAACTAGATGGTGGAAACATGGCCAAAGTTAACTTTACATGAAACCTTTCAGGGACAGCGGGTACTACAGTGGACAGCCTATCATGTTATCAGGTTACAGGGCGCATGAAAGGGTTAAACCCCCAGAAAAAAAAATCGATGTTGGACGCTATATTTTGTGTTTGACCTTTTTCCCATTCCAAATGCCATCACACAAGCATTGCATGGTAAGGAAAGAAAGTGAGAAGAACTGAAAAATGAACACCACAAGTTACATATGTCACCATGGGTTCATTTCTATTCGCACATCTAAATTAGACCGTTACAGAATATCTAGTGTTTAATTTATTACACCTTAATGCAGCCACAAGTGATCAATGAGCAGCTGCAAAGCTTTGCATTACGTCTTTGGGGGTGAAGTGAAGACTGTGTGTCAAGTTTAAATTTCTATGCTTGGAGTATAATTTTGTTTTTCTGCAGGTGTTGTATTTATTTATTTACTGTGTTTCAGTTGTCGGCACGTATCTGATGTGTATCAGATTTTTATCCTTATTTGGAAGAAGCCTTTTTCTTATGTGAAATATCTGATTATGTACATTTTTTCATTTACATTGCTGTGACGCACACGGTAACAGTTTTCAATTTGAGAGAAAAAAAATCTGAGCTGTGTCACTTAAGTCATGCGAAGTGTTTGATTTCACAAAGCTTCATTCAGTGTTCATTTCCTGTCACTTGATACTGAAAAAGAAGGAACGTGGTTTTTCTGTAAAGGTGGGACCATCCTTTTTCTGCTCCCAAAAGCAAAAAGATCAGAAGAAAGAAAGGATTGTGTGAGATAAAAAACAGCAGTGAGGATGTGAAAACTGCAACTGAGCATTTTTCTGATTGTCAGTGAAACGCTCTGGAACATTTGTCAACAGACCTGAAGAGACTTGAATGGGATTATTGTTATTTTTTTTTTTAACTGCCTCTGGGTTGCTCAGTGGCATTAGATGCAGATGACCTGAGGTGAATGATGTCTTCAGTGAAGATAAGCAGTGACGCAGTACCATTTGAGGTGAGGGGGTATTTTCTATCCCATTTATGCTGTTGAGGGTTTGCTGGTGGAAACCTATCACATTTTACCTTGGGCCAAAAGTCGGATTAGAACCTAGACAGGCCGCAAGACAATCACATGGCACATAAATTGCTTTCACCCACAAGGCAGAGAAAAGCAGAGGGAGGAAGAAAAAAAATCCAGGACAAGTCAAGCTTCTCCAGGACATTTTACTCATTTTCCATGCCTGGAATATTGGTCAATCATTTTCCAGGTTTTCAAGGACATGTGGGAACCCTGTTTATGGCATTTCTATTCATTTCAATAAGGAAAGCTGATTTTCGATATAAGTGTGTTGAGTCACAAGCTTGGTCATGAAAAGCTTTAAACTTGTATACAGGCACTGCTGTATATTTAAAAAAAAACAAAACAATTATTTATGGGCTCTCAAATCACAGATTTTCATCTATTGCGTGTTGGTCTGGAACGTATCCGCCGAGATAAATGGGGGCTCACTGCATTGCATTTGATAACCCCCGTGAGGATGTGACACACTCACACACTCCCACAGAGGAAGTCTGAATCAGTCGGCCCTCCACACACACTTAACCATTCAGGAAAATGTCAGACCACAGCGTGCATGAGCTCAACACCACACCAAACATTATTGGGTGGCGTGCTAATAGAACAGACCTGAGTCTGGGACGAAATGTTGCAATAAAATGTTGCTGAAAAAAACAAAACAAATTAGGTGATTGTGATGGTGGTAAACACCAGACTACAGACAGATAAAAAAAGCCAATAAACGAATGTGTAGTTTTGGGGTGTATTTTAAATGCAAGACAGCCGACCTCTCCCTCAACTTGTGTTTCCTCCTTTTTCCAGGCAGCCTTGTGGTTTAGCATGTCCACGCACAGAGACGCAAGCACACGCGCACAGGCGGTGCTTCCACACCACAAGGACCAACCACGTGTTCTCAGGCCGACAGGCACCTGGAGCAGCTGCTGGCCCGTAAAGCACAGACGCCGTCAGGGGCCATCAAAAACCCTTCAGGAGCAGCCATCTTTCTTTCCTCCCTACAAAAAGAATGAAGGGCATCCTTTCATTTATTGGCCCTTTTTACCTCTAAAGTCACAGCACGCTTCTGCACATGGACACGCAGCATTAGAATGTTCTCACACACTCCAAACCACAAAGACACACATAGCCTCAGGTGAGTCAAACACACTCTTCTTTTTTCTTCTATTTGCTTTCCCAGAAGCAGACAGCAGCCCTTGGGTGTGGCTGTGGGGCTGGGCATACTGTATGTGTGTGTGTGTGTGTGTGTGTGTGTGTGTGTGGTGAGGTGGTTTATCGGGCTCAGCATCAGCTCAAGGATACGATGTCCATAGTCATCGTTGTGTGGGCACAGAGAGATTCTTCCCCCCCCCCCCCCCCCCCCAAGGGGGCCTAAGGGTCAATT